ATTTATACAATTTAAATTATTTTATATTATTATAATAATAATTTTCAACATAATGTAGACAACTAGATAGTTCATTTTACTAGATAGTTTCAGTTTTTTTAAAAATGAAACTGTTTAAAAGTGTATAATATACATACACACACACACACACGCGCGCGCGCGCATGTATCCTGAAGTATTGGGTTGTCCGGAAAGTTCGTGCCGATGCTGAAGAAAAATTGAAACGCAAAAAATTTAAATTTTAGTATACATTTATTAAATTATATAGGTTAGTCGGCACGAACTTTCCAGACAATCCAATATATATATGTGTAACAGTTATGTATTATATATAGATTTTTAGAGTCTAATTATCTACATGACTTCAATAAATTTATGTGGAACATGACTCCACCGTAACAAAATTATATATGTCCACAATAATTATTGTAGTATTTTAAATCGTGCGATTTTCCTACATTTAAATATCGAAGGCGATCAAGTTTACTATTTGCTTCTTGTTTATTTCGTATTCGGAATATCGATCTCACAGTATTCATATGACAAATATACGGTCAATTACAGCGGAAATTCTGATTCCCGAAAGACTTCGTATCAAAATACGATACCACGGACGTCATAAGACTATGTGATATCTCGGTTCTTATTGCAAATCCCTTGGTTCCTTCACGAACGAGCCTATGTAATGAGAATTTCTATTCGTATTCTATTTTTTATTTCTGTCCCTTCTCGAGCGAATCCTCAAAAGTAATATATTCTTGCTTAAAGGTCGTATATTGGAGAATATTCTAATTATTACACACACACACACGCACGCACGCACATACAAAAGTAGTTTGTCCAAATTTTTAGATTTAATGTAGATTGGCTAATTAGTTTTCATCCGATATTGCGGGATAATATCGGAAAAAAATATTATCGTTATTCGTATTTATAAAGCGCGAGTTATTTGAAGAGAGAAAAAAAGAATATAAGTATCTATGTAAAAAGAGTTTATTAAAAATTAATTGGCTTTTTTGTAACTATAATAGTTTTGACATCATTTTTTTTCTAAAGAAATCCAATATTTTTTTCTCTTTCGCAATCATTTCTCTTGTTATATTAACGAGACGTTAATTGATATCATTATTGATATCATTATTGAATTGATGTCATTATTGAATAGATAGTATTTTTAATTCGAGTTGCAATATAAATTTTTAGGAAAAGATCGAGTAAAAATGGACAATTGTAAGTAATTAGATTCTAAAAATCTATATATAATACGTAACTGGAATTTTTAGAAGATCACTAATTGTATAACGAGAAAGGATATTCTTATCATGACTCAAGCAATGATGAACGATATATGGAGACGGAATTAAATCCGAGAAAAACCGAGAGCACCCCAATAAAGGACAATGCTATTTCAGAAAAGGTCAGTCGCCTCGGTTCTCACACAATTCATGGTATCTGAAATCATATGTAATATGTAAATACATATAATTTGCTATATACATATATAGCAAATTTTTAATATTTTCTTTTATTCTCAATTATAATAATTAGTTGAATAAGAGAAAGAAATCTATTTCCGAAACGGATCTTGCTTAATAATATATAT